ACATAAGTCAAATCTAATAACTCAACTTTCCTAACCGGGGTCATCGGAAGGCCTTCATTTAATGTGACCAAACCATCTAAGGTGACTCTCTCTAATCTTATCTTCCACTGGAGCTACTCCAACATTTTCACGTATATGCTCATTTCGTTTATAAGAGAAAGAAAGTTACTTGCACAACAAGCGAGCTCTCGTTAAAATGTCGTAACTGAAGATCCAATATGAAGGGAAGGTCGTCAAAGGAGCGAAGTCGAACAAGTTACCTATATAGCAAACGAGTAAGTGTTAATGTGGAAGCTTGGTCGTCGAAGTAGCGAAGTCAAACAATGCGAAAGGGAGAAAGTTACCTGAAGGAGCAAGTCATTGGAGCGAAGTAGAACGGCTTTGAAGGAGCGAAGTCGAACAGTGACCAAGGAGCAAGTCGAACACCGTCGAAGGAGCACGTTGAACCACGACAAAGGAGTGAAGTCGAACAGCATCGAAGGAGTGAAGTCGAACAGTGTCGAAGGAGCGAAATGGAACGGTGTATCGATCGAAGGAGCGAAGTCGAAGGAGCGGATTCGAACAAAGCACAAACAGAGAAATGAGAAGGCAGCCCTAGGGGCTCGCCAAATATTAGCTAATTACCGGCGTTTTTCCGGTGGAATATCCGACGGAACGTAAATCGGCGGAACTTTCGCCGGTATTATTTCGTCGTGTTTTAGTTAAGCCGACGCCAAATATGCCGGTATATCCGCTGGTAATTATCATCGGACTATGCGCCGGTTAAGTTATAAAATCGGTGCATAACTAGCGTATTAGCCGTCGGTAACGTAGTGGCGGCCATGTCGCTGGAAAGTTTCCGGCGAACATTTCCGCCGGTAGTTGCGCCGCAATTTCCGGCGTATATTTTTCCGCTGAAAATTTCCGACGGTAATAGGGCATTTTCCTGTAGTGTCTACAACACTTTAATTTTATGCCATAATTTTAATTTCAAAGATTTTGCACCATAAAAGCATTTTAGGTCTCACCGCCATCTTATAGAATTTTTTCTTTGTTTTGGAAGAACAAGGGATCATTTCCTTATATTATTTATCCACTTGTTTGAAAGATTGGGATTTTAAGTGGATTTCAATTAAATAAGATTTGGTATTGGGAACATAAAAGGGATGATGAAATGTTTTAAATCTTAGTTATTCAAAGAAGTGAAGGATTTTAGATGTGTGAGTATAAGCAAAAGGGAGAAAGTTACCTGAAGGAGCAAGTCGGAGGAGCGAAGTCGAATGGCTTTGAAGGAGCGAAGTCGAACAACGACCAAGGAGCTATTCGAACGGCGACGAAGGAGCGAAGTCGAACACCGTCGAAGGAGCATGTCATACCGCGACGAAGGAGCAAAGTCGAACAACGTCAAAGGAGTGAAGTTGAACAGCGAAGTCGAACAGTGTCGGATGAGCGAAATGGAATGGTGGATCGATCGAAGGAGCGAAATCGAACAACGTCGAAGGGGAGGAACGGAGGAGGAACGAAGTCAGAGGAGCGTATTCGAACAAAGCAAAAACAGAGAAATGAGAAGGCAGCTCTAGGGGTTCGCCCGACATTAGCTAATTACCGGTATTTTTACGGCAGAATATCCGACGAAACGTTAACCAGCAGAACTTTCGCCGGTATTATTTCGTCGTGTTTTAGTTAAGCCGACGCCAAATACGCCGGTATATCCTCCGGTAATTATCGCCTGACTATGCGTCGTTAAGTTATAAAACCGGCGCATAACTAGCGTATTAGCCACCGGTAATGTAGTGGCGGCCAGGCCTCCAGAAAGTTTCAGGCAAACATTTCCGTCGGTAGCTGCGCTGCAATTTACGGCGTATATTTGTCTGCCGGAAAATTCCGATGGTAATAGGGCATTTTCCTGTAATGTCTACAACACTTTACTTAATTTTATGTCATTCTTTTAATTTCAAACATTTTGCACCATAAAGCATTGTAGGTCTCATCGCCATCTTATAGAATTTTTTCTTTGTTTTGGAAGAACAAGGGATCGTATCCTTATATTATTTATCCACTTGTTTGAAAGATGGGATTTTTAGTGGATTTCAATTAAATAAGATTTGGTATTGGGAACATAAAAGGGATGATGATGAAATGTTTTAAATTTTAGTTGTCCAAAGAAGTGAGTGAAGGATTTTAGATGTGTGAGTATAAGAACTCCCATTCTCTTAAAAAAGTTTTAGAGAGTCTAGGACTCATTCTAAGAACCAAGACTCTAGTTCACCTCCTTTCAAAACTTCCTCTAGCCAGCCTCAAAATAAACTTTCTAGTCCTATATAAATGGTCGACCCATTGCACGTCAGTTCTGGAATAAAGTATTTTAGGTGTCATGGATACGAACACATTGTCTCATAATGTTCTAGCCCTTATAAAGTCACCATAATTGAGGAAGTTATCGATGACGAGGAAGAACCTAACATTGAGTTAGTTCATCACATTGAAGATAATGAAGATTCGTTTTATGACGAGGACACCGCTATAATCCACTGTCTGCATAAGATGGATCGCATAGAACTTCAAGTTGTTGGGTGTGCTTTATTATAGCATAAACCGAGTGATGACTGACACATAACTTCTATCTTCCACACCTTCACCAAGATTGGTGATAAGAACTGCAAGGTTGTTATTGACAGTGGAAGTTGTATTAACGTTGTCTCTTGTACTATGATTTCCAAACTTAACCTGAAAATGACACCCCCCCCCCCCCCTGGATCAATTCAACTGCCTTAGATATTAAGGATAGAAGTCTTATTCCCATAGAAATTGTAGGATACAAGGAGCAGATTTGGTGCAACATTTTAACTATGGATGTGGGTCAAATTATCCTTGGCCACCCATGGTTATTTGACAACGATGTCCATATTTATGGGAGTGTAAGAAGATCAAACTTTTATCTTCCCAACCCAAATCGTCTAAAGAGGAAGTTAAGCTCACTCTCATTAAACCCAATAGAGGCTTAAATCTCTTAACTATAAAAGAAGTCAACGTTGAACTGGTTCAAGGATCACCCATATTTGAATTAGTATCCCAGGAAGCAACTGTGCAAATAGAAGAATCTATCTCGGAAGAAGTCCAACTCCTCGAGACTTTTGCAAGTGTTCCCTGAAGACCTGCCCAACCAACTTCCTCTTTTGAGGGATATCCAACATGTCATAGATCTCGTTCCTAGAGCCTCCTCACCCAACCTGCCTCATTATCATATGAATCTGGAAGAGCATAACTCCTTCCATCTCCTTGCAGGATTTGATGCCCTCCAAACCAGTTTCCATCTTCATAACCTCTTCCTCTCTTTTTCTTTCTCAGCTCTCTTCTGAGGAGAAATCATGCCTCAAGTGGCAAAAATAGTCTGCCAAAATCACAAATCCTAGATTTTGGCATCGTTCTTTTCAATTTTTGTGTGGTGTGGGTCAGATCGACGGGTCGCACGGTAAGTTGGAAAGCCCGTGCTAAATATAAAGTTTTGATCGAGTTGGTAATCGGGTCATCAGGCTATCACGTGGAGGCATTTTATTCGAGTCCGGGCATAGAACTTTGTTGGGAGTCTGAACCGAATATTTTTTCTTTGATCTTCCACAATTTGACACGTGAAATAAATAATTCATTGGTTTTATTGATTTAATTTTTGAAGAAGTTATTATAAATTTTTTTATTTGATCGACTTTACAAACATAAAAATTGAATCAATAATAAAAGTGCTAGTCATCATCCCAAACTATCTCCTCATGTGTGGTTTGGGGTGATTTGTCGATCCATACCCTTTGGTGTGCCACTCAGGTGCCTCTATTGGGTCCATCATATTGATAGATCACTCTCCTATGTCATCCTCGTATGTTTTTTTGTTTGATATCTACATTTTATTGCCAAGATTAATGTTAATAGGTACTTGGAAATTCACTTGAAAGCTTTCTAATAAAATTATATAATAATGTATTAATGATTATGAAAGCTTTGTATCCACCAAATTCTTATGAAAAATAATATTCAATTATTGTTCTAACTCACAAGTGTTCTCTTTAGAAATAAAAACTCAATATTTCGTCAGTGAAATAAGAAATAAAAAATATTTTTCATCAAATTACTCTCAACCAAATAAGTGAGTGAAGATAATTTTCATTTCAATTTCTTTTTCATTTCTTCTCTTTCAACTTATTTGTACTAAACGAAATCGTAGGCTTCATTTAGGACGGCTTTATTATTAGTTCTCAATAAGAAAGAAAGCCATCTCAAATGAAGTCTTAGTAAAATGTTATATTATTTCACTCATCTTAATAATTGATATATTTTCAACAAATCTAAATTGTAAACTATAATGAAAAGTGAAAGTAGCTCATCATTTCTAACATATTAAATATTATTTATAAATAATTAGTAAAAAATTATGCACTAATTATAGATGATTAATATTTTTAAAAATAAATATTATTTGAGTTAAATTTTATATTTTGTTTATTAAATAGAGAAATAACTCATTTTGATTGCTATTATATAAAAATAACTCATTTTAAATAATATTAAATGCATATTGATTTATTAAATTTACAAAGAATTTTTTTATTCCAAATATTTTGATTACATTAATAATAACAAATTTATAAGTGAAATTATTTTTTTTAAATAATATCTTTGCAATAATAAATTTATCAATATATTTATATTTTCATATTTATTATCATAATGTTCCATCATATGGCTTCTTATTAAATTTATTCAAAATATTACACATCCATTCGCACCAAAACCCTCGCCCGCTCTACGCTTTGCAAAAACCCAAAAACCCTCGTTATTCTTTTCCTGGTCGGTTTCCTGCGGTAGAAGACAATCCATCTCGTTGTCCTTCCTTGTACCTACGATGCATTCGGGTTTCTCAGGCTACCTTGGCAATGGATACGCACCGCAGGGACCGGAAAGGGAGCCACGGTATCGGCGGAGGGGCGCTGGTGGTCGCCACGGCTCCTTTCAGATTTTGTATGATAACATTTCTTCGTACTCTTCCTCATCTCAGGCGCGCCAGTCGCCAACCGAGTTGGCATCTTCTACCAAGTGGGAAGAGCTCGATGACGCCTACTTCCAGTCCTATTCCCAAATCGGCATCCATGAGGAAATGATCAAGGTGATCTCTCACTTTATCCCTCCACACCAATTTTTTTCTTTGATGTTGCCATTAGGTGATGATCTTTGCGAAAGGGAATAATAAAATGCCGTTTAAAGTGAGATTTTATAATCATTTATAGTATGGATAAAGTGTCTAAGCTTTTAAGTTGATTGTAATATGCAGAGAAAACTTTGTTTTTGCGTCCTATCCTTACCTTTGGTGAAGTTGTTGTTTGGCTTAATGTTGTCTAAATGGTATTGCTGTTTGGATAAGAATGCTATCAATCAAATTGAATGTATTTGGTTAAATTTCATCTTATTTGAGCAATGCAATGTTTTTTTTTTTTAAATAATTAATGATGATTAAAATTTATTTTATTTTATTTTCTTTTTCTTGGCCATTGGGCAGCCTTAGATTTTGTTTGTGAGAAATTTTGTCAACTTCCTTATGTAAACATATTAAGTCTTAAATATCATCTTGAAATTGTTATGCAACAATGTATCCTACCTAGACAAAAGTTTTTGAATGTTAGAAGTTTTGTAGCTGTTCCTTTATATGTTGACATAGATTAAAGGATTTATATGGTGGTGGAGACATGCTTTTATACATTATGATCTTTTTTTAATAGCTTTTTTTTATGTAGAGATTGGTTAAATGTATGCTTGAGTTCAAGTTTGTCTTTAATATGCTTTATTGTCAAGGTGATAGTATGGCAGTGCACATTAAAGTTCTTGGTATGTTCTTTCTGTGAATGCTGGAAATAGGGAAAATGTAAAATGCCAAGTAAATTGTAGTTTGATATAGTAATGTTGCTATACTTAATTTAGGCTTAATGACTTAGCACTTTATTCAAACTTGCATTAGTGTATGATGAATTCAACTCCTTATGTTAGATTTGATAAGTTGTAGTTCCAAGTATGTTTAACTTACCCTAGAATATATTATTATACTCTTTCTTATAGGCAAGTTTCCATATCAGGCATCACTTCACTTCGAGCATAAGCTTTTTGACAACTCATGCAATATATAAACCCTCAAACTGGGGAGCAAAGTTGGGAATCTACTACTCTAGATTCATTTTCAACCATTGGAGCCACACTCTTTGTCTATAATTACTAGATCCCAACCAAATGGTTTAATTTAATAACACATAAGGCAATGAAATTTGATGGCCCAACCTGGGTCCACTGCATTAGTAAACAATAACTTATTTAAATCAAAATCCCCAACACGATAAAACTGAGCCTCCAATAGCAGGATGCAAACTCCAAGTATTATGTATCTCCTACCTTATTCATGTAATAAGCTTGTAATTTGGGTAGTATAGTGAATGCAGTTATGTGTATATATCTGTAACTTTTTTATATTAATAGTAATTATATTGCAAAAATTTTAGCTTTTAATGAGTTTTATAATATATTAGATTATAAGGAGTGCGAAAGATATATGTATAAGTTAACTAAACAAAGAGATAGGAGTAGTAAGGATTTAGTTTAAGTGAAGTGTATTAAGGATGAAGATAAAAAAGTATTTTTATTAGAAGAGGATATTCAACAAAGGTGGATAAGATATTTTGCTAAACTTTTCAATGAAAATTATGAGAATGCAATTGACTTTATTGACCTTAGCATCCTAAATGAAAAAAAAAAAAATTAGCGTATTAGTAAAATTGAAGTTAAAGAGGCTTTAAAGAAAATGAACTGTGAAAAAACTGTTGAACATGGTGATATTAAAACAGAAGTGTGAAAATGTTTAGGAGATGAAGGAATTTTTTAGTTTTCTAAATTTTTCTAATATTATTTTGAAGACTAAAATGAGGCCAGATGAGTGGAGAATAAGTGCGTTGATTCCTGTTTTTAAGAATAATGGTGATGCACAAGATTGTGCGAATTATAGAGGAATTAAGTTAATGTGTCATACTTTAAAATTATGGGAGAGAGTTATAGAGCATAGGTTGCGACGTGACACTAATATTTCTCAAAATCAATTTGGATTCATGCCAAGTAGGTTTTCTGTGGAAGCTATACATTTATTGAGAGGTTTGATGGAGAAGTATAGAGAGAATAAGGAGGATCTACATATGATTTCTATTGATTTAAAGAAAGCATATGATAAAGTTCCAAGAAGTGCTATGGAGAGTTCTAAGAAAGGGGTTAATAATGCTTATATTCAAATCATTAAGGATATGTATGCAGAAGCTGTTTGTGTTCAAACACAAGGTGGTTTGACTAAGGGGCTGTTTGGTATGCAGAATTAGGAGTGTAAAGTATTTTAATTACATGTATTTCTTAAATTATACCGTTTGGTTGATTTTGAGCAGAACATAAGAAAATCCTCGGATGTATTAGCGGTGTATTACTGGAGGCTATTTGCGCCACTTCGAAACCCGCTCAATTTGAGCGGGTTAGAAATTCTCTGGCGCAAAGAAGAAGAATTTCTTGCTGGCTTCGATGGGGTCGGCCTCGTCGAACTGGTTAGCGCCGAAGGATGAGATGCAGGGCTTTATGCCACCGGTGCCGAGCGCAATAAGCGCCATAGCGACTAGCAAGAAGCCGTTTTACGGGCCGGTGGCGGATTCGCAACTTTTGCAACCCAAAACGAAGAGCAGATACGCTATAACAAGCGTACACAACCCCTTCCCATCCATCGCCGACTGCGACCTTGCAGCCGCGATGCTCACGACGTCGCCTCCGACCTCGACGGCACCCTCCTCGTCTCGCGTAGTTCCTTTCCTTCTTCCTCCTCGCGGCAAAGGCCGAAAGCCTCTTTCGCGCCGCTTTCCTCCTCTTATCCCCGGTCATTTTCTTCGTCTACAAACTGGCCTTTGAAGCCGCCGGTATTTAAGATCATGATCTACATCGCCTTTGCGGGAATCCGATCATGATTTTATGGCGATCTGCAAGGTTCGTACGTTCGCTTTTCCCTCTCTGTTTTGCCTTTCTATCAGGCTTGATTCGACACTTTCTCAGGCAAGTTCATAAAAGGGCTTAATTTCTATGATCTTCATATTTAAAAATATTGGGATGAAGCAAAGCTTCATGCATCTCCTTCATCAACGCCGTTGCTTACTAACGTTGATGGGGACCTTTCAGGAGAAGTGTCGACTGCGTGATTGTGGTAACTCTACTGGACAATTTTGATACCTGCAGCTGATTTGCGATTGTGAATGTATCCACATATAGCTTTTTTAATACTTCGTTCCTTTCTTAATTTTGTTCTAGCTAGATAGCCTCGCTTCATTAACAAATATACTTGTCTCATATTTATCCTGTTAAAAGTGTTTACTTTATAAAACTTCAGAATAGAAGCTTTAATCTTCTGTTTAGATTCAGTGCTTAATCTTTTATTAGCTAATTTTACTGACCTTCTGATCATTCAAAAGTTTATTCATTTAACTCTTCTGGTTTCAAGCAATTTTATGTCCTTTGGGAAATAACATTTGATAATTATTACTTATCAAACAAATGTTTCCTTAAGTTATCAAGCAATTTTTCTTGGTATTTATCTTTATCGTTCTCCTACATTATATTGTTATAATATTTGTTTTATAAAAAATAATAAAATTAATCCATAAAAGTATTAGAGAATTGAACCATCAATAAATATATGCCATAAAAAGCTTGATAACTGATCTGGTTCGACTGCTTTTGGTCTATTAAAGATTAGTCTTTTGGCTAAACCAACTTGATTGTACTGCAGCTATGCAATGATATCATCCACCGTAGTAAGATTAAGGCTTCGTTTGGGACGGCTTTTTTATTGCTTTTTAAAACGAAGTTGTAGTACAAATTTTTTAATTTTGTACTAAAACTCCGTTTTCAGAAGCAATAAAAAAGCCATCCCAAACGAAGCCTAAATGGTGCATATGCATAAAGCGCTCCAGTGTCATAATCACAAACTTGATGATTGATACTCTTAGGCCATAATTAAAATTAACAAATTAAAAGAGTGAGGATCAATAAATTAATGTCATACTGGAAACCCTGGTTACTCACAACTTGTACTAGATGATTGGGTTCTCACATAGAGCCAGAACCCATAATAGTTAGTAATTTGGAGACATCCTTTAACACAGCTAAATGAGACCAGCACCATCTTATTTGATGGTCTGTTAATTCTGAAAGTCATCACACTACTAATAGCACAACTTTCTGATTAACATTGATGCTAGAAAGAGCTTCATATGATCAACTTTTTTAGCAGCTAGGTAGGCGTTTGTTCTTCATTGGATTGTAGGCGTTTCAAAGTCATATGGCAATGTAGCATTTGTAGCACTATTTACTGAGGGGCGTTTATTCATCCTCAGATGTATTATTCTTTAACAGTGTTTCAACAATGAAAAAACTACACACTTGTTGAAGAGAGAGCATCTATATGCAACTCACATTTATCATAATCAAAATTATGTTTGTGGTTTTGAGTAGAGCTTCTACTTATGTATACGAAACTTTCTTGCTGCCATATGTGGCTAGTCATGAGACGGGGATTGATCGAAACTTACTAGATTTGAAGGCCAGGGCGGGTGACATGGTTTTCCTCTATTGGCAGAAGGCTGCAATTTATGGACAGACAAGGATATTTGAGATCTTTCATTATATAGCTTCTCAGGCACCACAACAACCAACAAGACCTAGATCCACTACGGTAATGATTGGAGTCATTTATCATATTTTTATGTTCTACTCATTTTAGGCCATGTTTACTTTGTCATTTCACTAGATTTATGCACTAGATGTACGTTCTTGGTGATTGCTGATCCATCTCATGTGAATTTTGCAAACCTTTATATCAGAACAAAGCATCTTTTCCTTAACATTTTGTTTTGTTCTAGTAGCATCTTAAGATAAGAATTAGCCATTTGGTACTTTTTAGTATGAGAACTCTGGATTTATAGTGATTCTTGACTTCATTTTTTTTTTGGTTTCGATTTTTGTTTGATCATTTAATCTATGAGAGTAAAAACCTACAATGAATATTATTTGTTTGCAAGTTGTTATTATCTAGCGCGTAGATATAGA